ATACATTTGTGGGGGCACATGTACACATTCAGTGTTTCCTTTGTAGAGTTAAAAAGTACAAGTAAAGATAGAACAGCTTTTTTTTTGTAGTTCTCTGAACTTACTCCCTCTCTTTGGTACAGTTATTCTTAAATCCTTTCAAACTGTTAAGGTAGTACTGAATTAAGTCTTAATAATAGGAACTCACTGATAGAAATACTTAACCTTGCTTACTTGAAATTCTTTTTTTTTGTCCATTTTCTTTTCATCTTTCAGGACAAGATGAAGAATTTTGAGAGCCAGATTACAGACTTCAGTATCTGTTAATACTGATAATACTGAAACTAAAACTAATGCATGCTGCTTTAAGTTCATATTAATACCCTTTAACTGACCTTAACTGATTTGGAATGAATCAGACAGTTTTAAAATTTTATTTTATTTTATTTTTATTTTATTATTTAGAGTTTTTAATCATGACATTGAAATCTGCCAATGTGATTACATTTTTATAGTACTGCTTTGGTCTCTGTCCTATTTAGAACTAACTGGGCACTTCTGTATAGTTTCAAGAAAATGAAATGTCCTGTCGGCTCTTCCCAAGCTCTGCCTTTGAACAGTCACTTGCTTTTGAATAGTTTAGGTTGGAATGTTGAATATCAGCTTTGAGTATTTTAATATTTTTCTTTCACTTAACTCTTAAACATCTTTCCACAGCTTTATTAGGAAAGTTAGGTTGACCATTGAGATCCTGGCTGTGAACTTGGTGATTTTCTTGAAATGGTGTTGAAGGATTTTAAGTTACAGGTTTCAATTGGTACTGTAGATTACTGTGTAGTTCTCTTCACTAGTCAGTTTAAGAAAAAATCGTATGTAACATATGGAAGGGACACTTCTATAAAAACTGTAAGTCTCCTAACTAGATCTTGGAGAGAATTTTGGGGTTTAGAGGTACAAATGAATTGGTCAATGACTAGCAGTTGGTTTAAGTTGAATATTTTAATGATCATTTAATTGGGCATAATAAGTAACTGGAGAGGGGGAGCTAGTAGATTTGCTGGGTACTTTACATTGCTAGGCTATAAATAGAATTTTTATGTGTTTGGACAGTTTTTGAGGACCACGAATACCCTATTGCTCCATGATATGGTAATGAATGTTCCACTCAAGAACTGTAAGGTGCCCTGTTCCACTGAAGTCTAGTTGTGCTGTCTCAGGTTGGGGCCATCTGTGCATAAAGAACAATATTTAAAAGTGATAGCAATTGTCAGCATGGTGGCATTTACCTCTAATTTGTTGTGCTTAAGCACACATTATTGTGCTTTTCATTAAGCATTGTATAATGTGTAATGTTTGCTAATTTCAAGATCTACAGGGAGTGGCAGAATCACAAATGAGTATCTTAAAACAAAAGAAGAAATAACCTAAAGAACATCAGACTTCTGTTGCAGGCAGTTATAGCAATAGAGTTTCTGCCTTTTAAAAGAAAGATGATGATGTGAATTAAAAAAATTTTTTTTAAATAATCACAATACAAATTAAACCCTAGATTCTCTCAGAATGTAAGGTTATACTGAAGAACTCTTGCCTTAGGTGCGGGCGGGGGTGGGGGGGTATGGCTGAGGGTTAAGTGCTGTTATTTACCTGAGTCAAGGTTTAGAAAAAAATTTTTTAAACATTGAAAAACATTTTTGCAACGTGCCTTTCAGTAGCCTAGTGTGTTCAGAATGCTCACTTTTCTGCACACTAAAAGCATTTAGACTTCTAGGTGTTGGGTTAGAATGTCCTCCCTCCCCCCTCCAGTTCTTTGTCAAGAGAGACAATTGACATTATCAACAGTCATCGGTTCTGTGGCTTCTGTGTGCTCCACATGTAGAACACTGAAGGTCTGGGAAGCCGTTTGCATCCACACCCCATTCATTGGAAATCGTGGTGGTTTGGTATTAACAGTAATTAGTTAGAATGTCCGTTTTTTCCTACGTTCTGTTATTAGAAAGTATTATCACAGTCACTCTGAAGATTTTTGTTTAGCAGGTTGGCTTTAAGTGACACAGATACTGACTTACAGTTTAAGGAAGTGTTTGTTTACCTTTAGTTTCTAAGGCAGGAGTCGAGGGCATTTGCTCTCAGGATTCCCGGTGTGGCCTGCATCTTTGTTTCGGTGGGTCTGTGAGTTGAGTGGTTATAAACCCAAGGGATTGCTTGTGCCAGTCAACTTTATGGTATGGTTAAATGATTTTATTTTTTATTATGCTCTTCAACTTGCAGAGAATGGTAATTAGATGGCAGCCATAGAAGTTTTGATGAACATTCGAATTAAATTCAGTGTCAGATATGGTTGGTGACTGAGGCCAGCGATGTGCATATTGACTCTACACCTGTGCTGATTATGTAGTGTTTGTTCGTTTATTCCCCAGGTGTTGACTGAGGGCCTAACCCTGTGCCTGGGACCCCTTTTAGGCACTGGAGGGCAGCAGAGGAACAAGGCCAGGAGAGTCTCTGCTCCTAGGGGCTTAAAAGGGATGGCCCAGGGTTTTCATACCTTTTGGGTCACCAGTGAGGATTTTGATGACCCAAAGTCGTGCTTGGGATAGTTGGGCAAGTTAATGACTATCAGAATCTGTCTCAGAAGCTTCCCCAGAGGAAGAAAAGCTTCCGTTTTCCCTGGCAGGGTGTCTTCCCTACATGCCACACTGGAGGACTGTCTGGCCTGGGCCCCTTTCCCCTCATCTTTAGGGTTCCACCCTGCTCCCCCCAACCCCCCCGGAAGAACTGAAAGCTCTTTCTCCTAGATTTGAACACTGCCTCCTTTGCCTATCCCTTTGGTGTTCCGTTAGGGCTGATGATAACTTAACCCAGATACTTAACATTTCAGAGATAAAAATGGAAACTAAACCATCTTTCCAAGCGGCTTTTCCAGCCTTGCCATTGCCTGGTGGGAAATAACAGGGATGCCCACTTTCTGTTCCCAAGCCAGAGACCAAGTGGAGGGTTGTGTTGTTTGGGGAGAGATTGTTTTTAGAAAAGTGGAATTACCCCAAATTTAAAAATGTCACAGAATAGTAAAATTTCTTTAAAAAAAAAAAAAAAAAAGGTTGAGGTTTGACATGGGGGAGTAACTTTGATTTTTGCCAAATTGGGACAGACAACCTAAATTAAAAAAAAAAAACCTCTATTCGTTGCTGTTGCACCCTTTTGTTTTTTAAAAAAGAAGGGTATTTTGGCACCAAAAAGTAGAAAAGACCCAAAGTAAAGGACGGTCTTTTCTTAAATTGAAATGAATATGCACTCATTCAGTTGTTGTTTTTTTCATTTAACTGTTGGCCAGTGACAATAGTGTTGTCAGAGAGTTTGGTGACTGCTTTTCTAGAATGTGTGCATTTCTTCAGTTAGAACATTACCTGGGACACTGGCAATCGGTAAATATTTGTTGGATGAGTAGATCCCTTCATAGAAACCTAAATGATCAGTCACATATCCAAATACCATTTACTGCTTTGATTAGTATATTCATGAAATATTCTTTTGACTATGTCTGTCCATAAATACATATCTTAACCCCCAGAACCACAGAATTTTGGAACTCTGAGTTGATCCTATAATGTATCCAACTGTATTAAGTAGATACAGTTGAGGGAATGTGGTGGTGACCACTTTAAGGTTGTGACTCAGGCAGGACTGGAACTCAGGTTTCCGGACTGTTCTATTATATCCCTCCAAGCTGGTAGTCAGCCCAGGGTGTATTCTCCATTGTGATGGCAACAAAAGACGAAGAAATTGACATGAAATACTTCAGTGCATTCTTTCTTTACCCTGATCTTTGATCTGCAGTGTTATTTAGAAAAGTTTCGGGGTTTTTTTTTTTTCCAAAACAAAAGATAAGGAATATGAGCATTTTTTTTTTTCTTTTATGAGTGTGAAGAAATGTTTCCTGTCTTTGAGCTTGCTCTTTGAGGAAGTGGAGAGAAGGAAAGTAAACTTTTTTTTTTCTTAAACATTGCCTGTGGGAGTAGTTTGTATGCCTTTTTGTTTTCTTGGGTAGAATTAACTGACTTCAGTTAACGTAGTTGGGATTATTTAAAAACAGTTCCTATGCTTGCCATAAAGGTGGAGGGTTTTGGCTTTTAGAAGTTAATTTTTCTCCAAGAGTGAAAATTAGCTTATTCGAAAGCAAAGCCTGCAGAGCTGCAGATGGTCAGTTGTCCCCTGTGACCTGGCCAGTGCCCACTCCGAAAGGTGGATGGAAAGGAGGGGATCTACTCTGACTTTCAGGCTGAGGCCACCATGTTGATTATTTTTAAACGTGTGCATTCAGCTTGTGTATGCATTTTCTTATTTGTTGTTCGGACAAGGAAGCCCTACCCTGACGCTTGTTGAAGGCAGAGAGTTGTCAGAAGCAAACTGGATTTGGGCAGTGGATTGAGGTGTGCAGTATCCAGCGAACCAAAATTTCTCAAGGTTTCCCTAGGCCAAGATGAGCAACCGTTCTGAAGTATTCTGTATTTCTTGAGTAGGGATTTTAGGGAAAGGTCCCTATGTTTGTGTTGTCGACCTGTGTGTTTCTTGTCTGTTCGTTTGTATTTAAGACAATTTGAAGCGCTAGCTTTTAAAAGTTTACTTAAAGTGCTTTGTCATCTGTTTTTACAAGTCTTATAGTCTCTAGATTTGTAGAGGCTGTTTATAAGGGCACGGATGTGCATTTCAGTGACACTTTAGATGTATTTAGCTGAATTGAACACTTTCTGTCCTGAAACTTCACATTTTGGATTTTCATCATTCAAGCACTATGTTTTAAGTTTCTTAACTGGATGAAATTCTAGTGATTTAATAGGTGTGCTGATTGGATAAAATGAAATTGTTAGACTTAATTAACAAGCACGTTTCGCAGGCTGGCGCTGTGTTAAGTCAGAAAGGAAGCAGCGGAATGAGGTGCCGTCGGAGCCACAGGAAAAGGTCCCTGTGAGCCACGCACCCAGCCTTCCTTCTGCCTGCTGCTAACCGTTCTGTTCTTTTCCCTTCAGGTTTTGGAAATCTCCTTGTCTCCAGGTTTCTGGAATTGACTTCTGGCTCAACTGAATCACTCAATGGAGACAAAGAGAACTAATGCTTTGTGCTGAGTCATACTTGAATCAAAGCATCTGGGAGTCTGTCTGCCTTGGTGGTGGAAAGAGCCAGTGATACTGTCTATCACTGAGCTCCCTAAGACTTCTGAAGATAAGCAGTTAAAGGAATAAAAACTTTCTTTTGAACTTTTATAACAAATATTTGCTCTAGTTTGGAAGCCCAGGACTTCTGGGGGTGTGAGTGACAAGTCTTACAAGTGGCCTTATTCCAAGTCCAGACATTCCTCAACCAGATTCTTATTTTATACATAGCCCCGAGTGACAGCAAACATGCCGACTCAATCCCTCTTAGTGTACATGGATGGACCGGAAGTCATCGGCAATGCTCTTGGCAGCCAGATGGAGCTGGATGATGCCATGTCAATAAAAGGGACGACTGCTGTCCCTTTCAGAGCCACACAGGAGAAGAGCATCATCCAAATCGAAGGCTATGCGCCCCTGGACTGCATGTTCTGCAGTCAGACCTTCACACACTCTGAAGAGCTCAACAAACACGTCCTGGTGCAGCATCGGCCCATCCTCTGTGAGCCCGCGGTCCTGCGTGTGGAAGCCGAGTATCTTAGTCCTCTAGATAAAAGTCAGGTGCGAACGGACCCTCCCAAGGACAAGAGTGGCAAAGAAAGTGAAGACTTGAGCTGTGAAGTGTGTGGGCAGACATTCAGGGTCGCTTTCGACGTTGAGATCCACATGAAGAAACACAAGGACTCTTTCACCTATGGGTGTCACGTGTGCGGACGGAGGTTCAAGGAGCCCTGGTTTCTGAAGAACCACATGCGAACACACAACGGCAAGTCGGGGGCCAAGAGCAAGCTGCAGCCGGGCCTGGAGAGCCCAGCCACCATCAACGAGGTGGTCCAGGGCCAGGCGGCCGAGAGCATCTCCTCTCCTTACAAAATCTGCATGGTTTGTGGCTTCCTCTTTCCAAATAAAGAAAGTCTAATTGATCACAGGAAGATGCACACCAAAGACACGGCTTCCGGTGGTGACAGTCCCCAAGCAGACTCTCAGCAGGCGGGGATGCCAGCCCCCAGGGACGAGTTCCTGCAGTTCCTAAACCTGAGACCCAAAGCGCACCCCGAAACCGAGAAGCAGCCCACCAGATGGATACCTCAGCTCGACCCATTCACCACCTACCAGGCCTGGCAGCTGGCCACCAAGGGCAAAGTCGCCGTGTGCCGGGAGGTGAAAGAGCAGCCTGGGCAGGAAGGGAGCACTGACAACGACGACTCGGACAAAGAAGAGCTGGGAGAGATCTGGGATGCCAGTAAAAGCCATCCCGAAGGTTCTGGAAAGTCCAGAACCAACAAGAGCGGTTGTGCAGGCCTCGCACAAGATAAGGAGAAGCCTAGACACGCCAACGGTGAAGTGCCTTCCGGGGACGCGGACCCCAAGTTGTCCAGTAAGAGTGAGAAGCCGACGCATTGCTCCGAGTGTGGCAAGGCGTTCAGAACCTACCACCAGCTGGTCCTGCACTCAAGAGTCCACAAGAAGGACCGGAGGACGGATGCTGAGTCGCCAACCATGTCTGTGGACGGCAGGCAGCCGAGGACATGTTCTCCAGACCTAACCAGCACCCTGGACGAGAACGGAGCCACCGACCGAGAGGGTGGTTCTGAAGATGGATCCGAGGACGGACTTCCCGAAGGACTCCATCTGGGTAAGCTGCGTACCAGCCCTCTGCAGGGCACGGGCGGCTTAGGGGCTCAGGGGCTTGGAATCCAGCCCGTTTGGGTATCACCCTGTCACTTAACCCTGTCCGGGCCGAGTTAAAGGCCTACGAGGATTTCTTCCTGTTCTGAAAATCCTGTGGTTTTATATTTTGCTAACCTGTGCGTCACCCTAAAGCAGTGCTTCTTAACTGGGGAGATTTTTGCCCCAGAGGACACCTGGCACTGTCTGGAGGCATTTTTGGTGGTCACAGCTGTGTGTGTGTGTGGGGGCTGCTGGCACTCAGCGGGTGGAGGCTGGGGATGCTGCTCAACATCCCACAATGCACAGGACGGCCCCACAACAGAAGGGTCCGGCCCCAAACGATAATAATGCCAGGGTGAGACGCTGGCCTTTGTGCTTGGGTTTCCTGATCTCTCCATAGCAATCAGCCCCCGTGTGCAGTCAGCCTCCCTGTCTGTCAAGGCCCAGCTCGTGTGTGTCTGTTGCAAAGGGGTTTCCAGTGGACAGAAGGCACTCGGATGATGGGTAACAGAGCGGGGCTGCAGCTGTCAGGGCACCTTCGGTGCTGCCTGGGGCCTGTCCTTGGTGTCTGGGACGTGTTCATTCACAGGTAGCTCAGAAACGAAATGGTTTGTAACTTACAGGGAATGTGAACACATCAAAGATGCTTTTAAGAAATCTCATTTGCTTGGTCGAATTTTTAGCGTGCTAATGACATTCGTGGGAACCAGTCCTGCCCCTGAAGGCTGGTTGACCTGTTTCTGGAGTTCCAGTGGGCACAGGGCAGTGGGCTCACCCATGGGGAGTCTTGCCCACCCTCATCCCACTGAGAGCCTCTCACTGATTTTGTCATATTTTGCTTGAATAAAGAATTCTGCTGCTTGAAAACAGTTAAAAATCTCTACAAGTTGATAATGAGAACACGAGGTCGTTTTAGAGAAACACTATCATTTAGAGAAGTATTTTTTGGTTAAAACAAGTACTGTCTTTTGTTGTAACTAGCTGTGGATGTCTCTCAGTTCTGTGTGTGACGCCCAGGGGGTTGGACCAGGTGATACATTGAACTCTCCACCCACGCTTAAGCCTGTGCCCGGCCCTTTTCCTGATCCTGAGAGAGCTGTGGTTTTCTTTTTCTTTTTCTTTTGAATCCTCACCCAAGGTATTTTTCCATTGATTTTCAGGTAGGTAGGTAGGTAGGTAGGTAGGTAGATAGATAAAGAGAAACATTGATGTGAGAGAGACACACTAACTGGCTGCCTCCTGCATGACCCCGACCAGGGCTGGGGACCAAACTACAACTGAGGTACGTGCCCTCGACTGGAATAGAACCCAAGATTCTGGTCCTTGGGTCGACGCCCCAACTGCTGAGCCAGACCAGCCAAGGCAGAGAGCGGTGGTTTTCATATAGAATATTTGGACTGTTTTGAGTTTCCGGGGACACAGGAAACCTAACACTCAGAACTACCATGTTCAGTTTTCAGAAGCTTAGAAAACACGTTACGGTGTCTTAAGTGACATCATAAAAAGCTTGCAACCCAGCCCTCTAGTCTTCGGCGTGGTTTCTTGGAGAGGCAGTACTGATCATGGGAAAATAATTAGGCCCCAGGGATGTCCCGTGCCCTGGGAGAAATGAAATGGCCAGTCCACTTTCTGCCAGCAGGTGGTGTGGGCAGAAGAACCTGGTGTGGAAACCTTGGGCTCGGCTGTCAGGCAGCTACAAGACCATAATAGCTGGGAGCGCCAACTTGGGTTTCGTCTGGTTCTGCCACCGCATTGTTTGTGACTGATTATGTGTTGCTTAACCTTTCTTTGTCCTGATTTCCCTGTTTGTGAAATTGGTTCATCAAAATTTTCCTTGTCTTCTGCCTCCCAAGGACAATTTCAGTAGCCTATTTATAGAGTTCAGCCTTAAAGGACAGCACTGTCAAATCAGAGGTGATGCTAAAAAGAGCAGGGACCAGGTAGATGTGGACATTTCATGTCCTTTCTGTTAAAACAAAGGCATTTCATAACTTTTTGGATGTGACGCAACATACCATAAATCCTGACACATAGTTGGAAGTAGGAAATTGCGATAAGGTACAAGCCCAGCTACAAACTCAGCTACTTGTGTGTGACTGTAAGAAGGAAGGCTGTGCATTCTGTGCGCAGGGGATTGTGTTTCCCTATTTACACAGACTGGGGCCAAGTAGGCGTACAGCTGTGAGTACGCAGACCAGTGTATTCTTGTGTTATTATTAATTATTGTGTTACTTCCCATTTGAACAACTGCACACCTGTTCTTGCCCCACTCTGTGTTCTGATCTCCTGGTCTAGATTGGTCTTATATCATTTACTATCAACCTGGCTTTTTTAAGATTTACTTTGAAGATAAAAAAGCAAAGTAAATAATTTATTGAAGGTTTTTTTCAGCTTTTATAAATGGGTTTCATATAATAGTTGTCCATGTGATTATTTTTTAAAGTCCTCAAGGCACCTCTTTAGATCTGGGTTGCCTTCTGCCATGTCGGCATGTGTGGAGTTAGAGGGTGGGGGTGGACCCAGTTTCCTCGGGAACGTGGGGTGGCAGATTGTACGGTCCTGTCTTTATTGCACCTGGAGGCTCACCAAGGGCTGGCTTGTAAACTGCTTTTTAAAATCGGTAAGCTACGAATAATCGAGAATGTGAAATATAGAAGGAGCAGGGGGGAGGCCTTTTAACTGGAAATAAGATTTTCAAGGCAAAGCGATCAGTTCAGTTATGCTGATTGGAGAGCTGTCCCCACTTGTCACGTTGTAAAGTAGGTAAGATGAGCTGCAGTAAGGGGAAGGTGACCTAAAACTTACACACTCATTTTTGGGGGAGTGGGTATTTTGAGTTATTATTATTGTTGTTGTTGTTATTTTTAGAGGGAGAGAGGGGGAGGGAGAGATTGATTTGTTGCTCCACTTACTTATGTAGTCATTGGTTGATTCTTGTATGTGCCCTGACTGGGGATTGAACCTGCAGCCTTTTTGTGTCAGGATGATGCTCTAACCATCTGAGCTACTGACCAAGGCCCAGGAGCGGGGGTTTTAAATGCAGCATATCTAATTTGTCTTTTGGAGGCTGGTGTTTTAGTGGCATCTGACCTTCCTTTAATTGGTGTCTCCAGTGGATCTGGACTCTGTGGCATGTAAGGGTCCCGGTCGTCCTGGCGAGATCGCAGAGTGAAGTTGAACGCCTTGTAACCTGAGGACAGATTTTGGTTTGGCAGGTGGATTGTGGCCATGAGTGCCGTGGAAGGACAGTCAGCCAGCGTGCTTTCCAGAGGTGTCAGTGTTGACAAACTTGCCTGGGTGTTTGCCTGAGCTGAACCTTTTCTCTGGGAGGACTGAGTTGTGCTGCCCTCTAGTGGTAACTTGTCCTATCTGAAGATAGAAAACTTACTTTCCCCAGTGGTTGGGAAAATTGGCAATTTGTGTTGGCTCCGTTTTCTAAACGACTTGCTCTGAAGAAGCTGGTTGTTCCAGGCCGTTTGTGTAGGTCCGGCTCCGGCTGGCCAGGTCCTGCTCGGGTGAGCCTCGTTAGAGGGAAGGCCGCCCCGCATCTGCCAGTGATCTGCCCCGGGGTGAACAAATGGAAAACTGTCTGAACAGCAAACTCTGCTCTCGTCAGAAAACCCACCCCAAACCAACAAACAAACCAAAACAACACCACCACTTACACACATGTTATGAACCTTGAGGCAGCCTCAAAACAACATTTGCTGTGCTTTTAGCCTTTTTGGTTTACCTAACACTATGTAAAAGTCGTTTTATGCTTTCCAAAAGTGTTTTGTTTCTCTCAAGAACATTTCAGTCTGCTTGCCTTATTCATATACTGGAGCTGTCTTCTTACATATTTTTGTTTCTGCTTTAAGATAAAAATGATGATGGAGGCAAAATAAAGCATCTGACATCTTCAAGAGAATGTAGTTATTGTGGGAAATTTTTCCGTTCAAATTATTACCTCAATATTCATCTCAGAACGCATACAGGTAAGGACCTTTTTAGATTTTTAAAAAAGGATCTATTAGTCAAAAGAACTGTGATGTAGTGTTCTGTGTTTGATTTTTTTTTTTTGGTTCCGATAATCTGGTAAGTGGACTAGTTCAAGAATAAGGTGCAGTGTGCAGGCTGCTGCTGTCATTCTCAGTTATTTTAGTTTCATTGTAACTTCAACTGTGGTTCTTGTTTTGAAGTTAGTTTCTTGTTTAGTTTTTCATTATTGTATCCTCCCTTTTTCAAACCTCTTTGTCTTTATTTTAAAATGATTTTATTTTTTCTTTTATTGATTTTTAGAAAGAGAGGAAGGGAGAGGGAGAGAGAAACATTGATGAGAGAGAACATCGACTGGCTGCCTCCTGCATGCCCCCCACTGGGGATCAGGCCCACAACCTGGGCATGTGCCCTGACCGGGAATCCAACTGGCGACCTCTTGGTGCAGGGTCGATGCTCAACCACTGAGCCACACCGGCCGGGCTCTCTTTGTCATTTAAAAATATTTTTTTCTATTATTTGAGAGAGACAGACATTGATTTGTTCTACTTCTTGATGCATTCATTGGCTGTTTCCTTTTTAATTTTAATTGAATTTATTTGGGTGACATTGGTTAATAAAATTACGGGTTTCAGATATAGAATTCTACAACACTTCATCTGTGTACTGTGTTGTGCATTTACCACCCCAAGTCAAGTCTCCTATCACCATTTATCCCCCTTTACCTTCTTCTACCCCCCCTGTGCTCCCTTACCTCTGGCAATCACCATACTGTTGACATTGTCTCTCTCTCTCTTTTTTTTTTTTATTGATTTTAGAGTGAAAGGAAGGGAGAGAGAGAGAAACATCAATGAGAGAGAACATTGATTGGCCGCCTCCTGCATGCCCCCCACTGGGGATCGGGCCCACAACCTGGGCATGTGTCCCGACCAGGAATCGAACCGGCGATCTCTTGGTACATGGGTCGATGCTCCACCACTGAGCCACACCGGCCGGGCGACATTAATTGTCTCTTGTATGTACCTTGACCAGGGATCGAACCTGCAACCTTGGCATATCGGGACCACGCTCTAACCGACTGAGCTACCTGGCCAGGGCCTTCAATGTCTTTTAATGCCTCAGCTTTTTTGTATTTTTATGGTTTAGAAGGAAATGGGAATATGTTCTGTAGTCTTCTCGAGGTTGTAGAGACGGCCGCAGCGGAGGCCGAGGAGGCAGCGTGCACTCGGAGTCCTGCACTCCTCGCTTGCTGTGCAGCCTCGGGGCACGTTAGTTCGTCTTTCTGAGCCCCCATTTTCTGAGCCATAAAAGCAGGGTCATAACACTCACTTCCATAGGGCTGTTAGGAAGATTAAGGAAGTTTAAACTAAAGACGTGTATTTACACGTTCAGATACCCAGTATAGTAAGCGTGATAAAGCGGACACCAGTGAGGGGCCCTGGATGTGAAGGTTAGTAGATGAGGAGGGGAAAGGAAAGATCTCTTTGATGCTTATGTAATACGGCGACATTTCTTGTTTTAGGTGAAAAACCATACAAATGTGAATTTTGTGACTATGCTGCAGCCCAGAAGACCTCTCTGCGGTATCACTTGGAGAGACACCACAAAGATAAGCAGGTCGATGTGGCTGCCGAGGTCAAGAGCGATGGGAAAAACCAGGAGACCGAAGATGCACTACTCACTGCCGACAGTGCGCAAACCAAAAATTTGAAAAGATTTTTCGATGGTGCCAAAGATGCTAGAGGCAGCCCACCTGCCAAGCAACCTAAGGGGGCGGCTCCCGCCTTTCCGAATGTTCTGGGCAGTGCTGCCCTCTCGCCAGTACTCAAAGATACTCAGGATTTCAGTAAAAATGCAACCGAAGATAGTGCTGATAAGACCAGCAGAAACCCCGCCCCCGCTTATTTGGACATGTTCAAGAAGAGACCGGCCGGCGAGCCTCCGGCCAGTCACCTCCTCCGCAGAACCGAGGCGGCCGTCCCACGCCCCCCGCACCCCGACGCCGCTGTCTGGCAGGGTGACGTGGGCCCCAGAGAGAAGAAGGCAGAGGCCAAGCCCAGCCCGGACTGTCAGGAGAAGCCCTTAAATCTATCCCTGGGGGCACTTCACAGCTGCCCAGCCATTTCTTTGAGCAAGAGTCTAATCCCAAGTATCACCTGCCCATTTTGTACCTTCAAGACCTTTTATCCAGAAGTTTTAATGATGCACCAGAGACTGGAGCATAAATACAATCCCGACATTCACAAAAACTGTAGGAACAAGTCTTGGCTTAGAAACAGGCGCACTGGCTGCCCGCCAGCCCTGCTGGGCAAAGACGTGCCTCCCTTGTCCAGTTTCCCCAAGCCCAAGCCCAAGCCCAAGCCCGCCTTCCCGGCCCAGTCCAAGACCCTGCCGTCGGAGAAGGGGAAGCCGGGCCCCCCGGGGCCAGGCAAAGCCCCTCTGACCTCAGGGACTGACTCTAGCACTTTAGCCCCCAGTAACCTGAAGTCGCACAGGCCACAGCCCAGCGTCGGGGTGCAGGGGGCTCCGGCCAGCAGGCAGCAGCCCTCGGAGCTGTTTTCTAAAAGCGGAGTTTCTCCTGCTCCGGAGAAAATGAAGAGGCCGGAGGCGAAGTTCAAAGCCCCGGGCGTCTCCGCGTCCCAGCCCGCGCTGGGCAGCAGCACCGTCAACGGCTCGGCCGACTTCCCGGCCAAGCACGACGGCCCGTGGGTGCCCCCGGGAAGAGACTACTTCTGTGGCCGGAGCGCGGGCAGCGCCGGCCCGGAGCTCGGAGAGCCGCTTCCCAAACGGCCGAAAGCCGGGCCGGTGGCCCTGGACGCGGAGCAGCCCGGGCCCCACTACAGACGGGGCCTCGACCTGCCCAAGTACCAGGTGGTCCGCGGGATCACGTCGCTGCTGCCCCAGGAATACGGATGCCCGCCCCCAGCAGTGCTGCCCCCCAAGCCGCGGTTCTTGGCTTCGGGCGAGATCGACTCTGCCAACGTGCTGACTGTGCACAAGCCCTACGGTGGGCCGGGGTCGCTCTACACGTGCGCCCCCGCGGGCCCCGCCGCCGCTGGGCTGGAAGGTACTGCCCTGCGCTGAGCGCACGAGCATTGGCGGGGGGCGGGGGGTGGGGGGCTCGCCTACAGCGAGGTATTTCTAGATTTGGCAATGGTTTGTGGTCCCCAAGTTCAGTCCTCCAGGGTCTGGTCTTATTTCTGAGTGTTGAATTTCTTTTGCTAATTTAATTTTTCTCCCTTCTGGGGTGATAGTAAAAAAAATGGTGGAGAACTGCTGATCTGGCCCTCTCCTTGCCCTTGAAATCCCAGGAGTCATTTAGGTCCAGTCACCTCTCGCCACCAGGCCTTGTCTCCTCCTTGGCACATATGTGCTGTGCCCAGTGCTCACTCCCAGCCCACCCTGGGACTGGGGATCTGGGTGCTTCTGCCCACATCTTGCCATCCCTCCTAGTTGTCAGCTCCTTCAGAGCGGAAGGCACTCTTAGAGAACCTTGAATTGCCTGCAGCCCCTCACAGACCCCCTCAAGGGGGACAGGGGGCAGGGAGTAGATGCTGCCTGGAGACCCTGTCCAGACTCCTGCTGGTCACAGTGTGAGCACTTGCAGAACTGTACTGCCTCCCGAGGCCTAGTGACGTGGCAGGTGAATTCACAAGTGCCATTTAGGTGCCCATATGTCAGTCATTTATTACTTTGTAACTACTCTGGCCTTCTCCCCGTGGAATGTTTTGATTAAAAGTGTCCATTTCCGCCCTGGCCGGATTGGCTCAGCGGTTAGAGCGCCCACCTGGGGTCCGGAGAGACCCGGGTTCGGTTCCTGCTAAGGGCATGTACCTCAGTTGCAGTTTGTCCCCGGCCATGGTTGGTCGTGCGGGTGGCAGCCACTCGATGTGTCCCTTTCACATCGATGTTTCTCTCTCTCTCTCTTCCTCTCCCTCCCTCCCACTCTGTCTGTACAAAAAATGGAAAAATGTCCTCGGATGAGGATAAAAAAATAAAAAAATAATAAAAATAAAAGTGTCCATTTCCCCCCTAAGCACTTAAAATGGACATGAGTCAAAACTGTGTCTTTACTGGATGAGAAAAGGCCATGTTGCAAGTCAAGTCCTTTTTTTTTTTTTTTAATTCTCACCGGAGGATATTTTTCTATTTATCTTCAGTGAGAGGGAGAGAGAGAAACATCGACTGGTTGCCTCCCACGACCCTGACCAGGGCCAGGGGCGAACCACAACCGAGGCATGTGCCCTTGGTCAGAACCGAACCCGTGACTCATTGGTCCTCGGGCCGACGCTTCACCGCTGAGCCAAACTGGCCAGGGCAGTAAAGTTGTGTTTTATATTTTTATTAATTTTGTTATTACTTTTTGCCAGTCTTCACTCGAGGATATTTTTCCATTGAACTTGAGAGAGGAAGAGGGACGAAGGGAGAGCGAGAGAGAGAAATATCGATGTGAGAGAGAGACATTGATTGGTTGCCTCCCACACAACCCCAGCTGAGGCCAGGGATGGAAACCGCAACCCAGGCCCGTGCCCTTGACTGAAATTAAACTCGAGACCCTTTGGTCCACGGGCCGATGCTCTAACTGCTGAGCCCAACTGGCCAGGGCAGTAAAGTTCTTTTTAAAATCAGTGTTTTTTCTCTTCTTCCACAGTTTTGGTTCATGATGGATATAGGTCTAAAGTATATGATGTTGCCTTTTTATTTTAGCATTTTCATCCTTTCTGTGACAGCCCAATATTTAGGTAATTGTAGCTTTAGTGGCCTAAAATTCTGTGGTAACAAATGTCTTCATGGCACTTAAAGATGTATGTGACTGGTGGGTTCTGACCACATTATCAGTTAGGAATTTTGAAAATGGACCTCTAGCTGCCCACCCACAGCTTAACCTTGCACTGAATTCTGAATGCCTTTTTACACATTTTTTTTTTACCAGGAAAAAGGCCCGTGTCATATCAGCATTTATCTAGCAGCATGCTACAAAAGAGAAACTATGAGAATTTTATTGGGAATGCACATTATCGGACAAATGACAAAAAAACTTGATTTCCTATTTTGGGGAAGAAAGGTGAGCATATATATATATATATATATAATGTATTGATTTTGTTGAATTGAAAATAAACTGTCTAGCTTATCCAATATAATAGAAAATAAAATGCTCTTAGTTTTAATTTTGATTTTTTTTTAGGTGTTTTAAATCTTAGAGTGCTCAGGACAGAAAGAGGAAGATAGCCAATGAAAGTTAGTAAGCATTTATTTTGTGCTAGGCATTGAGTGTTTCATAAACATGGTCTCTCATTTCATCCTTCTTCCAGCAGGGGGCGGTAGGTCAGGCATCAGCAAACTGTGTTCTCTGCTTGTTTTTGTCAGTCAAGTTTTATTGGCACCTGGCCATGTCCTGTTGTCTGGGGCTGCAGAGTTGCATAGTTGTCACAGGGACTGCATGGCTTGTGAGGCTGAAAATATTTACTCTGGACCTTTCTCGGGTTAGGAAGTAGTGTACGCACTTCACAGATGAGAAGGCCGGGGCTACACTGCCTACTCGGCCTGGCTTTTGTCACAGGTCCGCCCTGCCCAAGCCTGTGCCCCAGCCCTCCCTACCAGCGTATTCGAAGCCTTTGTAAATCCTTTTCTGTTGGAAGAGGGGATTGGGATGGAGCAAGTAGAAGGTTTCATTTATTTTGACTCTTTGATTCCTGTGGCAAACGTATTTAACTGGAGAGTAACCGAAACAGCTCGAGTAGAGTTGTGAGCGTTGCGTGCACACTTGCCCCAAGGTTGGGCAGAGGGCGTCTGGGTCGGTCCTCTAGGACTTGCCCCCAGAAAGATGAGTGAAAGCGGGGCCCTGGGCAGATTGTTCTCTCAGATAAACCACCGCCGTGTGTTCCCGGAGCGCCTCCGGACCGAGGGCCTGCGGGTCTAGACAGAGATGGAAACACACTCCGGGCCAGGGCAGGCTTCCCCTCCTGTTTCCCTGGGGCCCCGCAGGGGCCCGTCAGCCCTCCGCTGGTCTGCATTCTTCTCCCACTCGGACTCCTAAGTAGAACACGAGTGCGTGAGGTGGTGTCACCACGGGAATGAGATGGGTCCACTCCACACGAGACATAAAAAGTTCGTGGATTGGAAGGAACAGGTGATTGCTGACATTACTTGCACTGTGCATTACAACCAGCCATAACAGCACAAGCTGACTGTCCCGTTTGCCTACCACTGGCCTCCTGCAACCTCGGGGCTTCTCTGCTTCCATCTCTCCTGCACCCTCTTTTTGTTGTTTAAATGTGTTCTTATTGATTTTTAGAGAGAGAGAGGAAGGGAGAGAGAGAAACATCAGTGTGAGAGAGTTGCCTCTTGTACGCACCCCGACCAACCCGGGACCGCACCCGCAACCTGGGCCAGTCCCTGACTGGGACCTTTTGGTGCACAGTAGGATGCTCCACCACTGAGCCACACCGGCCAGGGCCCTGCACCCTGTTGCCAAGTAGCCAGCGGATACTTCAGGACCAGCTCATACCATCTCTGCACATGTTTGCAGGGAGCCCCGGCCTCTTCCCCACGTGCGTTGCCTCTGCACGTGCGGTTTATGCCCCTTTCCGCCCATCTCCCTGTGGTCTGACTTCCACCACTAGCTGAGCCCGGAGGGCAGCCCTCCGTCCACCGAGGCCCATTGCCGGGATCACTGACAACTCGACAGGTGTGGGCTGAAGAAATAAAGTCACAGATTCTTCATGCACCTTCCTGCTCACGGACAGGCTGTTCTGAGTCACGTCTGGCCTGTGCCACACGCTTTCCTCGGCAGGCACACGCTTTCGAGGTTGCGGGAGGTAGCGACTGGCTCTGCAGACAGTGTGACTGATAGGAGTTCTGATTCTTGCTTCCATCCTCTGCTGAGTCTCGGTCACATACCTATGCCTGTGAAGCAGTGGAGCGTTGCCTGCCTGCCTGTCTGTCTGTCCTCTATCTGTATCTCCTGGAACTTCAGGGATGAGTGACACACTGCAGGGCCAGGACCCCAGCTCTGTGGTTCTGTTTACTTAGTACACGTAAGGTTGTTTTCTTTCTTTCTTTTTCTTTAATTGCCTTCAATTGTATCTTAATCACTTTTTAAATCTTTGTTTCCCTTAGGTCCTGATAGATGTGTGTGCTCCCCGTCCTGTGAAGTTAAGTTAGTTCGCCCCTTGAGAAAGAACAGTGAAAGCTACTGAAATAAGCTGTGACCGTGCTGTGCACACGAGGAACACTACCGCGCCGCCGGCTCCCACCAGATAGCAATAAACCGCAGTGAACAGTTGGGCTGTCTACAAATGGAGACTGGAAATCTCTACTTTGTCCCTGAATAATATTTTTCTTTTTTAGAATTGACCAAATAAGTGGAGTTTTTGCATACTTGAGCGCTGCTGAAAAGAATCATTTGGGCTGGGGGAGGGGTGGGGAGAAAGTATATAACGCTTGCACCTCAGGTAAAATCTGTACATATATAAGTTGTACCTGCTTGTTTCAAACCCTGTGTATTCTTTTCGTCATGGAGCTCATCACTTTGAGCAGTTCCTGCTATTTGTGCTCTTTCATTTAAAATGTACGTTTAAAAAGATTTCTTGATGATTTGTATTATGTTAAATTGTCTGCAGTCTGTTGTCTTAAAATTGTTAAGGGAAGTGTTGACCCTCTGCGAAGACGTGCTGCGTCTGAGGTCAGCCACTCCGAGCGCGGTGCCCTCCGTCACCGGCCCGCCGGGGGCCCTGCCTGCGGCCCGGGCGCTGGCGCAGCCGCTGTCCGGCGATCGCGCCTCTGTACCGAGCGCTGCCTAACCCAGGCTCCTCGCAAGTGAATCGTTTCTGTTGGAAAATTCAGTTTTTTGGGCGTTCGCCTAAGTTAGTAGATAAAAATATAAACGCTAAATGATACATGGGAGATAGTTACCGCAAGCAGTTTGCAAGGACGGGGGAGCTCGGGGTGCGTCAGGTTCGCTGGAGGCCGCGGTGCGCCCGCGTGGGGTCAGCAGCGCACGAGTCCCGACGCGTGGTCTGGAGGACTGTGGCCCGCCTCTGGCCGCGGAAGACGCGGCCTGTGTCTACCCCTCGGTTGCCTTCCCAGCTTCGGTTCTGAAGCAGCAGCATTTTCTCAGCACACATGCAGTTTGGGTTTTAAAGAGGGGCAGCCACCAGTTGACCGGGTGTTTTAACTTGCGCCCCTTAGTTCGCAGTCCACACTGAGCTCTCCAGAGCTCCTGGGTCTAACAGCCACACACCATTCTATTCAGAAAACTGTTCGGAAATAAATTTGCACTGTTAATGTTTCTTGTCCGAAGGGTAAAGTCCTAGAAGATCCTGATTGTTTTTGTTGTTGTTGTTGTTCTCATTATGCAACATGAGCGCAGCGGATGGGCCTCAGCTCCCGAGTTCCGGGGAGGCCAGGCTGCAGGCTGCGCAGCGGATTGCTTCGATCAGGAAGGCATACACTATTGACCCTTTCTCCTGTTCACAAGCTGAGCCATATGTACATAATCTAGATTTTTGTTTCCATAGTTTTGCACTTTTATAGCCTATTTTTGAAGATTAACACATTTGCAAAGATGATTGACTTGATCGTTGCCTAATCCAATGAGTGTTACAGAAGCTTGTGCTGACTAAGTGTGCATCTTAAAGGGGATACATCATAGTGGAGGGCTGAAACTAAACCTATGCTTAAAAATAAGTCACCAAATCTACGTGAGAAAAAGTCAGTTTGTGTTATGCTGAAATTATGGAGGTTTTCATATTTCTCCTTTCTAACCACATTTCTGAAAGTATGGAAATACCTTTTTTTTTTTCTTTTTCACAGCCCTTGTATTCCAAAATATGTTGTTTTTATTTTGTCCATCAGTATTAACTATTGGGATACTACTGGTTTTGTATGTTTTTTTTTTTCCTTTGAGACAACAGTACATATAATAGAGGTACAATCTGTTGGATTTTTGTTTATGTATTTATTTCATTCCATTTTGATTTATTTTAATTGTTGATACTTAAGTTGTCAAACAGTAGACATTACTTGTTTTATTTATGATATATTTCAGCTATTATATGTGGATGTAAATACAGATTTGGTGTTTTGCAGTCTTGGTTTCTGGTCTTTATTGCGTTCCTGGTTTCTGATTTTATTCGACTGTTCATAAGTACAGTTTTACACACACAAACTGGTACCGAGATTAGTATAATGACTACTCTCGTCCTCAGCAGCAGCATTTGTGGCTTTTTGTGACTCCCCGCCCGTCTCTCCCGAGTATTTTAAAGTAAATCTCAGACATGATTTAATTTTATCCCTAAAACACCTGAGTATATATGTCTGACCAATAGCACTTTTCATGATCACACCCGGCCCAATGGACAGGGTCCCTCCACGCCGACGGCCATGCCTGCATTTCCCGGGTGTCCCCAGAACGTCTCACGGCTGGTACGGTGAGGCAGGGCCCAAACGAGGTGCACTCTTCAGTTCGGGTGGTAGGTTTCTTGTTTGAATCGAACCTTCCCCGGGTGACATTTATTGAAGAAAGTGGGTCATTGCCCTGCAGGAGTGATCACATCCTTCTTTGTTTTTGTGTGTGTATTTGTGGTTTCCTCTCACCTGTTTCTCCAGCCTCTCTGTCCTGTACACGTAACTGCATCAGACGTTTGAAGTGGACTGGAACCCAGTTTGGGAGGGGGGCTCGCCACTGGGCATTCAACACTGGGCCGCCAGCCTGTAGCGATGTTGAGTTTGACCTGTGGACTCAGATGTCCCAGTAAGCAGCCTTTACAGAGTTTTCCCACCAACCCTTCTCCTTTGGGTTTTAGCAACAACCCTGATGAACATTAGGAAATATGGCAAAAAGTGATTTTTTAAAATGTTCTTCATTCCTCAGCATTCCATAGTGGGAATTCTATGAAGACCTCACTGATTATTTGGTTACCCTGACCCAGCTTAAACAGAAAGGGCTGGCCCTGGCTGGTGAGCTCAGTGGTTAGAACGTCAGCCCGAGGACCAAAGGGTTGCAAGTCTAATCCCTGGTCAAGGGCAGGTCCCTGGTCAGGGCACATGCAGGAACCAACCAATCAAATGTGCCTCGCTCACATGGGTGTGTCTCCTCCACTCTCACCCTCCCCTCCACTCTTTAAAAATCAGTGGAAAAAATACCCTTGTGAGGATTATAAAAAAGGGGGCTATGTGGTCCAGAGAGACCCAGGTTCGGTTCCCGCTACGGGCACGTACCTCAGGTGCAGTTTGTCCCTGGCCCTGGTCGGGTTGTGCAGGTGGCAGCCACTCGATGGTGTCCCATTCACATCGATGTTTTTTTCTCTCCCTTCCTCCATCTGAACAAAAAAATGGAAAAATGTCCTCGGGTGAGGATTAAAAAAAAAAGGGGGTCTAAACCTTGATTTGCTCCCGTGATGGACCAGATTTGGACGAACGACTTGGTCGGTGCCCAGCGTCTTCAGACACGGCTGGGAACGTGCTTGCTCATCTTTCATTACGAACCCACGCATGGGAGGCGTTTGACGACTCGCAGGCGGCGTTTTGATGGCCAGTGTCCTTCGGCTAACAGGGCTCCTCTGAGTTGGCTCTGTATTGGGGACAATGGTCTGAAAGGTCTTAGCTTCTTGCCATGACGAGATGTTCTGAGATCACCTTGAACATTTCTTGATACCCAGACCTGGAGGCGCTTCTTCGAGAACCTGTGTTCGGTGATTGGAAACGGTCTCTAAGGGGAGGGGTGCATGACAGCCGATTGCTTCAGCTCCTGGGCTGAAATATCAGACAAATACCTCAGTCAATATTCTGCTGTGTATTAACTCAAATTTAAAATGGCGCTTTTACTTCTTGATTTTCTGTTTTTTGGGAACCCTGTGTTCCTGGTGATGTTAACAACCTACTTTATCTTAGTATGTTTTTAATTTTTTTTAATCCTCATCCGAGGACATTTTTCTGTTTTTTGTTCAGATAGAGTGGGAGGGGGAGAGAGAGAGAGAGAGAGAGAGAAACAATGACGTGAAAGGGACACATCGAGTGGTTGCCACCTGGACGACCCAACTGGGGCTGGGAACAAACTGCAACCAAGGTACATGCCCTTAGCGGGAACCGAACCCGGGTCTCAGGACTGCAGGCCGACGCTCTAACCACGGAGCCAAACCGGCCAGGGCTGTTTTAGTATATATAACAATGAAATCATGATGCCAGTGTCATGTACAACATGATTACTAAATGAAGTTTTCCAAAAAGTTTTTTTCCATCTCGTTTTCCTTGTTTATAGCAACGGTTCTCAGCTGTGGCCCCAGACGAGCAGACTCCCGGGACATGGTTAGAAGCGCAGATTCGCAGGTTCACCCCGGACCTGCTGAGTCAGGAACCTCGGGGGTGCAGGCCAGTGTTACCTGTGTCAGTGCTCACGGGTCCCGGCTCAGGAGGTTCCACGCGGGGCCGTGGTCACGAAGCAGAGTCTGAAGTCACCTGGGTGGGTACGCCACCGTCCAGTCCAGTAAGAGTCACCGGTTTCTATCTTTAGACGTTGCTTTGCCTCCCTGCCCCCTCAATTACTTTTATTTATTTATTTATTTTTTTAAATCCTCATCCGAGGACATTTTTCCATTTTTTGTACAGACAGTGTGGGAGGGAGAGAGAGGAAGAGAGAGGGAGGGAAACATCGATGTGAAAGGGACACATCGAGTGGCTGCCACCCGCACGACCAACCAGGGCCGGGGACAAACTGCAACCGAGGTACATGCCCTTAGCGGGAACCGAACCCGGGTCTCTCTGGACCGCAGGCCGACGCTCTAACCGCTGAGCCAAACCGGCCAGGGCTCAATTACTTTTTTTTTTTTTTTTATCCTCACCCGAGGACATTTTTCCATTTTTTGTACAGATAGAGCGGGACGGAGAGAGAGGAAGGGAGAGAGAGAGAAACATCGACGTGAAGGGACACATCGAGTGGCTGCCACCCGCACGACCAACCAGGGCCGGGGACAAACTGCAACCGAGGTACATGCCCTTAGCGGGAACCGAACCCGGGTCTCTCCGGACCGCAGGCCGACGCTCCAACCGCTGAGCCAAACCGGCCAGGGCTCAATTACTTTTATTACGTAAAACATACTTTCATACCGAAATGACAAACCCAGAGAGGTCTAGCTTTCCTTCCCCTCACCTGTTTCCTTCTATTTTTAAAAAAATGTTTTTCCTTTATTGATTTTTTTTTTTTAGAGAGAGGAAGGGAGAGAGGGAGAGGGAGATAGAAACACCAATGAGCGAGAACATCGGTTGGCCGCCTCCTGCACGACCCCACTGGGGACCAGGCCCACAACCTGGACATGTCCTCTGACCGGGAATTGAACTGGGGACCTCTTGGTACATGAGTTGATGCTCAACCACTGAGCAACACCGGCCA